GACTTTCATAGACAATCCTGCCTGGGACTGGCTCACTTCAGCCACCCTCCTTTCTCCCCTGGGTGATGCCAGAAGAAGGGAGAGAGGGAGGGAAGGGAGCAAAGGCACCTCTCCCCCCAGCCTGGACCAAAAAATGAGATCCTGTACATTCTTTACTCTCTGTCTCGACCCATCTTCCCTCCATGCTGAGCCACCTGTCACCGCCATTCCTTCTTCCCTTTATCAAATATAACCTTCAAGTGAGAATGTGTGAGCACTCTTCAGTGCACTATGTCTGTGATCGTTGTGTGCCCGTATGGCATCCTGCAACCCCACCCCCCAGATAAAGCTCGTGTGTTCCAAGGGGACAGTCTCGTCACCTCCGGGGCCACTGAGCCAACTGAGCAGTATCGGACCCTCCCTGACAAATGCCCACTGCTTTGGTGCGATGTTTCTCCTTCCTGCTCTCCAATCATTCTATGGCCACGTTCCGCAACCAAATGGTACCTCCTCCTTGCAGCCTTTTCTGATTTCCCCGAGGAAACAAACAGCCTCTCCTCCCTCTCAATGTCTAGGGCACTTTACTCCCAATCCTTTAGTAGACCTCAACACTTTCCAGCATGCAGTGGTTACGTGCCCCTTCCTTCAGACCCAAGCACAGCATTCACCCCTGTGCCTTCTAGCCACATGCATCTCACACATAGTAGGTACTCAATGAATGTCTGGAATAAGAAAACTGCATGCATTTGGGATATCCAAGCACAACCCAAAATGTCCGTACACATCCAGAAGGAAGTGAACCAGTCTTCATTCCTGTGCTGAACCTGTCCCTTATCCACATATGAAGTGCCTGGCAAGGCGGCCTGGTCTTCCCACCCTTCTATCCCTCACCCAGACCGCTCTAAATAAACTCAACCCTCAACTTCCCAATAATTTCTCTCCATAAACAGATCTCCATTTCTGGTCAAATCATTCCCAAGTGTATGGACTCACCATGGGGCAGCTCTACTTCTTTTTTTGATTCCTCTAAGAGCTGGTTTTGCCTCAATTGGATGAGTGCCATAGAAATCACTTTGAAAGACTCGGTTCTTTCCCTTCACTCGTTTCTGAGAGGGAATCATCAAAGGGCTGGGAAAGGTGAAGGATCCAAGCCCAATCTGTTCTCCCCGGGGGGCTCACTGACTCCCCACGACCCTCTTTCTCAGTGCCGAGACCAGGAGCTTCAGGTGGCTGTGGACACAGGCACCCAGCACAATCAGATCTCTGCTGGATGCCTCAACCGCCTGGGGTAAGAGTGTGGCCCAAAACAATGGATTGGGGGAAGATATTCAGAAAATATTCTGAAATGAGATAGTAGTGGTATTCACAGAACGCTGAATATACTAAAAACCACTGCATTTGTAAAAGAGTGACTTTTGTGGTTTATCATCAAGGAAGCTGTAGTTTGGGAAAAAAAAAAAAAAGACTTGATGGGGACTCTGATAGTGAAGATAAAGATTTAGACCCCACGTAGGGCCCAGGGATTGGAAGAGTACCCAAGTGTGGTAAGGGAGGGGTGTCAGCTGACTCGGGCAGGGACCAGGGGCTGTGGTTGCCATAACCCTTGCTTCCGAATCATAGCTTAGGGAAGAAGGTCCTCAAAGCCCCAGGTGGGGGCCTGGCCCCCGGGCCTCCCCTCCAGGTGGAGCAACTGGAGCTACAGCTGGGCCAGGAGACGGTGGCCTGCTCGGCTCAGGTGGTGGGTGAGTCCTCCCTTCCTTCCCAGCTTTCCTCTTCCTCTCCCACCTTCCTCTCTTGGCTGGGGTGAAGGCTGGCACCACTGGAGGTGTCTCTGGTCTCTGGGCCCAGATCCCCAGACTTGGAGGGTGGGAAGGGAAGATAAGGAGCGAGTGTGGACAGGAGGGCCCTGCGACCCCTAGGTGCCCCTCCAGCCTCTTCTGTCTTCACATGATCCTACAGATGTTGAGAGTCCTGAGCTCTGTCTTGGACTGCAGACTCTGCTTTCCCTCAAGGTAAGGAGGATGCTGGCGCTTGGGCCACGCTTGGGGCCTGGCCTGAAGGGCCGGAGAAAAGAAGTGAGGTGCAGGTGTGCAAGTGGGGTCAGCGTGTCATGAGAAAGCCTTGGAGGTGTGTGATAGCACCTTTGCTTCCTCAGAGGTTCCTTATTTGCCCACAAGTGAAAAATAAGCAGGTCCCATTGCCCCACCCCCACCCCCACCCCCAGGGCTCTGGGTGAACAGAACAGGGGGAAGAGCAAGGAGTAGGGGGAGGCTGTGGGAAGTGGGGATGCCCTGAGAGGCGCACATTTCCCCTTCTCCCCCTGCCCCCTCAACAGTGCTGTATTGACTTGGAGCGTGGAGTGCTGCGGCTGAGAGCCCCCTTACCAGAGCTGCCCTTCCTGCCTCTGTACCAAGAGCCTGGCCAGTGATTGCTGAACCAGACAGTCCCCAGGGGAAGGACTCTGCCTTGGGGAGGAGCCATATGGGGGAATGGGGCATGAGAGCCAGGTAGCTGGGGACTACCGCGTCTGTCCCTTCTGTCGCCACCCTAACCCTGCCATCCCATTTCCTTCGGCCAGCTACATTCCTCTCTGTTCTCAGTGACTGCTTCAGGAGTCCTCCAGGAGTCTTCCAGAGAGAGGGCCTATGGTCTCAGGGGCCTGGCTTCCTTGGTCCCGTTCCCTTCCACATCAGGACTGTGGCAAAGGGATATTAAGTGGCATGTTAGGGACTGGCCTGAGTCGAAGTATCGTCCTTCACCTGTGCCCTCCATCCCGCCACCCACCCCTTGGTGGCCTTCACGCCCAGACCTGTTGCCTCACCTTCTGGGGCTTGTTATCTTTCACAATGAGCCTACCACAAGTCACCCCCCTCGGCCCTGTCCCTGCTGACGGCCACTTTTCTGATTCTGTACACATCTGTTCACAGTTGAGTAGGGGAAGAAAGAGGCAAAAGAATGTTCCAACATAACGGGAAGGTGAGTTGGTAGAAGAATGAAGGCTCACAGGGCTGGGAGCTTCCTTAGTTACTTTTTCTGGGGCTGCAAACGTCTGAATCTGGTTATTATTTGATTACACCATGCAAAACCTTGGATGGAACTCTGACAATTCTCTAGGCATCGCTCCTCCTCCACTTGCTTTTTAACACATTGGGACCCTGAATCTCAGAGGGTGGGGGTGTGGAGGAGTGTTGTCAGGAAATGCCCCAAGGTGGAAGGATGGCAGAGTAGTCAGTACTCAGACTTACCCTAATCAGTATTCTTTCTTATTTCTAGAGCCACTCACCTCATTAGACCCTCTTCCTTCCCCTCATCTCTGGCCTCTTGAGCTTGAGCTTGTCTAATTTTGGAATCAGTGACTTTCTATCACTTGCCAGGCTGTGAGCCAAGGCAAAAAAATAAGGAGACTTTTGGTCTTCATTGTGAAGAGAAAAATCTAACCCTAGAAGAGCCAGCTCCCTGAGGGTCCTTCTGGCTGGTTTCAGGCTCTCGAGCCATGGATGAGGGGTAGAGGAAGACAGTGGTACCACTAACCTCAGTTAGGAAGCTAGAGCCCTTGGAGTGGAAACAAAGTCTTGAGCCTTGGGTAGATTAGAGAAGAAGCAGGATACAACCCTGCTGCCCTGTGATCTCTGGTCTTGCCTTTCCCTGCTGAGCTCCCTGCCTTCTGAAGAAGAGGAGCAAACTCACTACCACATGTGTAATAATGATACCCTCATCCCTCCTGCCTTGCCCCATAGCCTCTGCTTTCTCTTCTGCCTCTTGCTGCTCCTGTAACTGCAGACCCCAGACCCAGGGGCGGGTCTTCAGCTCAGCTGCTTCTCCATTTGAATAAACACCTTTTTTCTCTATGCCAATAGCCTTCTCTGGTCTTCCTCCACACTGAGCAGAGTCTGAACAAATAACTCTGCCCTGATTCCCTTACACAAAGGTAATGTGAATGTGGACCTTTCCCCAGGTTGATCCATTGGGCTGGGTCTACAGAACTGAGAGCAATGGCTTTCAAATTCCTCTGAACACAACCCACAGCAGGAAATACATTTTGCATTGTACTTAGCATACGTAGACACGTGACCATGCACGATTATAACAAAATAATACTTCCCTATCCTGTGAGCAATATACTCTGATAGTTTTCATTCTATTTTATTCTATCCTATTTCATTTATCCAAAAAATGCTGACCTCAACCCACCAAAGGATGGCAACCCGTAATGTAAAAAAAATACTTAGAGTGCACAGAATCGAGAGCAGAAGGGATCAAACTGGCCCAAGACAAAATTCTGATTGTGGTCTGGATCATAAACCTGCATCAGATTTTAAATGTCTATTGTCTCAGAGACAATGTGTTCTGAGGGGAAATGGGAGCGAGGCTTACGAAGATGCATGATACTTAAAGAACATGGCAAAAGGAGAAAGTGCTAGCCCAGTTTCTTTGATAAGTAGAAGAAAATCATCTCAGGGGTGCTGGGAACAGTTAAGACCAGAGTGTAAAATGCCCTGAAAGATTCTCCTCAAAAGCAAAAACAAAAACAAAAAACAAAAAACAAAACAAACAAACAAAAAAAAAAAAAAACAAAACAAAAAAAAGCAAAAACAGCGTGCCATTCCTGTAACAGCCACTAATGCCAATGACTTGGAGCTGTGCCATGGAAGATGGAGCTGTGAATGGCAGAGAACCCTTAACTCATTACTCCACTGGCCCCAAACCCTGCTTTCTTTACAAGTGTTGGAGCCATGCAAAAGATGTGTGCTCCCTCCTCACAAACAAGTCTGTTTTCCGTACAAGGGGTGTGGGGAGTTCTGGGGAGGGGGCAGTCCCAGACGATGTGGGATGAAGCTGGGGTCCTATGATCCTGTTGATGTGATGGGTCAGGTACAGGAGGAAAGAGCAGAGGGCTAATTTGCCTCTTCTTTCCCCAAGAAGACCATGAAGGCTACAATTCACAGCCACCCTAGGGTTGCTGCCAACCTTCCATGCTCCTCTGTGATGTTTGCTTCCTATTCTGCTAGCACCATGGATACCTTGGGGGCTGGGGTAGTTCAGGAGGCTCCTTCTTCAGCTAAGATGGCAAGTCTGGCTAGGTGGGATCATGGATGCTTGCAGGAGCACACTGTGGTGGCTGGTCCGGATGATAGAGGGTTTGGTGAAGCAGGTTGCGGATAGCTGGGCTGTCATCAGGATCTGAGGGCAAGAAAGGGGTGCATTAGAGGCTGGGGGAGGGGGGCTGTCTCCTGGGCACCTGGCATGGGGCTTCTCCAGCTGGAAGCTCTCCTGGGACTCACCCACGCCCAGCTCCTGGAGGAGGCTCTGGAACTCTGGCTCAGCCTCCAGCAGCTTCAACAAATTGGTCGACTCCATCCGCTCAAGTTGCACCTCCCAGTACACATAGATCTTCTGGTTGAACGTGACGTACACGAGGCAGGGGCTGTTGCGGCCCTCTTTGCAGGCATAGAGGCCTGGGGGTGTGGGGGTGAGACAGAGGTCAGAGAATTCCAGTCCCAGTGGGGAAGGGCAGGGTAGAAGATGCCGGCCTCGGGCTCAGCAGTTTCCACCCTTGCAGATGCCAAGCAGAAAACTAAAGCCCATCTTTCTATTCATTCCGTGTTGGGAACCCAATAAAATAGGCAAAATACCTGGCCCATTTCAGATATGGAAATACGCCAGGCAGAACAAAACCCAAACAGTGGTATTTGTTGATTTTCCCATCCTAGTGATAGTCCCGGATGAATGAAGGGTAGTCTTGATAGTCCAAGGGGTGGATTTACCCAGAGCACTGTGCAGTTCTCACCATCTCAGCGACCAAAGATATCTCCGTGCCCCCTGAAAGAGCCAGGGAACTGCTCTCCAAGTCCCTGATTTGGAACTAACATGAATGTTCTGGGAGAATGTTCCTCCCAGAGTTCTGACATGCTCAGGCGGGAAAGAAATGTCCAGGGGCTTCACACATCCCAGATGGGCAGATGATAAAAACTCGGCCCATTCTTGAAGATACTCAGAGACTGGCCCGTCACTCTCTTATCCCTTATTTAAAACCACACAGATGGCACTTTAGTAGACACCATGACCCTCCAACACCAGTGCTGAAGAGCTCATTTGTTTATGAAGACTTATGTTAGGGCACACGGAGAGGGTAGAAATGAGAGGCGGGCATGGGCCAGGATCCCACCTGCACAGAAGGCCCGGATGTTCTCGTCCACCTGGAAGCGGACAACGGTGCGGTTGTGATCAATGATATAGGTCTGTCCATCCCAGGCACAGGCAACCACCTCCTCATGCCCATTGCCCTGAAAAAGGCCAGAAACAAGGATGCAGGGGTGGCCAGGAGCTGTTTTACAAAGAGGCCTAGTCATGGGGCTGGATGAAAGATAACAAAGCAGTGCATCCAGCCCTGAATGACAAACAGCTAGCTTGGAGTGAACACGAGCCCCCGTTACTGACTCAACTTCCTCTGTGTACCAGTCACCGAACAGCTGGTGAGGTCGGCAATGGTGGTCTCTGTCTGATGTGGAGGACACTTCAGCTTACAGAAGCTAGTCACTCTCTCACGGTCACTCAGCAGACTAGGGAGGCAGCACAGAATCAGGACTCAAACCCAGGCCTGCTCAACCAACTTTAAAACCTCGTGCCTCTTCTCCTAAACCATCACACACACACCATGGCGGGCAAAGTCTGACCCTATCTGCAGATCCGGGGGATGCAGCTTTAGTAAATAGAGGCTCAAAGACAGACGAGGTAACAAAAAAAAAAAAAAAAAAAGAACATGCCTCTGGAGTTGAGGCTAATAACTCACTTCTGGACCTTAATAACTTGTTTCTCTTTGGAGCCATTACTGATGTCAAAGCGTGCTGGAAAGTACTGCCGAGAGATCCCATGGCAGCATGGGGGACACTGCTGAACACTTAGAAACAGACTCACTTGAGATGCAGTTAGAGTCTGTCTGAAGAGGCTGACATAAAGGCAGAGAGGGAACCGGGAAGGGAGAGCATCCTCACTTAAATCTCATCTCTCCAAGTCAAGGAGGTAAGAATGTTCCTCTTACCGTGACATCCAGTTTCTCTAGGGCGAAAAGCTGGTGATCCACCTGCACGGACCACAACAGCTTGTCTGCTTCCTCCATAAGCTTCAGAGTCCCTGCAGGGGCATGGGTGGGGGTACAGGCAGGCTGGGTGGGTGGGACAGGACCCCGGGGCGGACCTCACGGGCATCCAGTCCCCCAGCCTAACAGGAACTCACCATCCAGGGTGCAGAGGGCAAAAAGGCCAGAGCCACCCTTCTCAGAGCTGTGGCCTGTGGGGGGGTGGGGGTGGGGCAACAGGACAGAAAGAAGAAAATGTGAAGGAAGGGCAGGGCGAGGTCAGAGCCCATAGGGTGAGGGGCAGTCCCAGGTGGGGAGAAAGGGAAGGGCCTGCATCTCCTCCCTTCCAGGGCTGATGCTTGCCCCCTCGGCTCCCTCTTGCACCCCAGCCGACCTTCACTTCTTCGGATGTTGCCAATGAGGTGGGTGGAGACGTTCTTGTTGTGGATGCGGCCGGAAGTCTGGTGCAGCATGATGTCTCGGGCAGCTGGGGTCTCCCTGTCAGTAGGTGGGGTGGGAGATACCGAGTGGGGATCACCTGAGCCCAGTTCTCCAGGACCTTTGTGCTCCCCCCGTATCCTGATCCCTGTACAAGCTTCCGGGATGAGAGTCAGCCTGGAAACCTATTGCTGACCCTGTCTGGCCCATGCGGCAAAGCAGAAAAGCGGGAAAGAGCTGCCAAGTTAGAATCTTGGCATCTCCTCCAGGTGCTACAGAGTTAAAGCTCAGGATGCCCTGGGTCCTCCAAATAATCTTCCCTAGTGGGGCACAGGCACTGTGTCAGGACCCAGCTGAAGCAGCTCTGCCAACTATAGACCTGTCCCCTGCCACGTGAACCCGGAAGCCCACCTGGATTCCATGCACCCCATGCCACCCACAGGCCTGCACCCTTACCTACTGCCCTCTGAGACCTCCTCAGGGGTGGGGGGCAGCTCCATGTCCTTGTTCCAGGTACACAGCAGGATGGCATAAGCACAGCCTGGCTGAGATACCATCAGTTCCGGAACACCCAGGGGTCCTGGAGTCACCGAAAGACTGTCCACCTACACCAGGGAACAGGGGCTTACAGGGGGCTAGGGGCAGAAGGAAGCGGGACCCTGCAGGGAATTGGGGAGAAAAGTGGCGCAGGGGCCCTGGGAATAGGCTTCGAGGGCAGCAGTGGGAGGAAGAATGTGTGTTCACAGGGCTCTTGCCAGGTGTCATCCTCTCCACACAGTCCACCTGCTCTCCTGTGTATGTCGAATGGGTTCCGCACCCTGACACAGGGCATATTAACAGACCCCACAGGCACACAGCCCCCACACTGCTCACTCCTGACTCTTACCCAGTGCTCCTTCCTCTTGGCCTATTGTTAGTAATTAGTAACTAAGACCCTGATTTGAAACTCTTTTCTTTGCATTTCTCTTAACAAGGAGACTTTCCCTTCCTCCCACCCTAAACCCTGGCTCATAACTGTTCTCCCTTGAGCCCCCTCCCCCAGGAGGGCTTCCTCCCTGCTCCCTGGAGTCCTCAAGCCCCACCCTCAGCCTCTCACCTGACCCTCCAGTGTCCATTTCTTGAGTGACACCAGTTGCCCCGTCGGATGTTCAGTGCCCTCGCCCAGATCTTCCCAGCGGAAAGCTCGGACCACACGGTCTGTGTAACCTACCACCAGCTCGCAACACCCATCTCCATCTGCAGATCCAGAAAGTAAGAGGAGTTTGGAGCCAAATGTGTAGTCGTGAGCCTGAATCCTTCATATGTCCTCCCTGCTCCTCTGCTAACATCACCCCCACCTGCACATTTAACCAGTATGACTTCAGTGCCAAAGTAAACCCTCAGCACGCTTAGTGTATGCACCTGCTCCCTGCCTTCCTAGCGCTTGGAACACTCCACCTACCATCTGCTCCACAGGTCCTATTACTTCTTCCCTCATGCTGCTTCCCTCAGAGACACAACTGGAGTGTCACATACCTACCGCCACCGGCAAGACAGCTTCAAGCCCTGTATCCATGGGGCTCACTCCCGACACCTTCAATGTTTGATCAAATGTCACCTTCCCAGCAAGGGATTCCTTGACATCTCCACTGAGAATTGGTACCTCTACTTCTATAACCTGATATTCCCCAGCCCCTTCCTGTGGTTTATTTTCTTGGCTCTTACTACCTTCCAAAATACTACTTAATTTTCTTTACAACATTTTACACTGTTTATCTTCTGTCCCTTCCCAGTAAAGGTCCAAGAAGGCAGTGACTTTTGTCCATTTTATTCACTGCTTCCATCCCACTGCCTAGAATGATACTTAGTTTATGAGAGCTCAGTAACTCAACAAAAAATGCGTAATAATTGCACACGTGAACACTAAAAACCTCTTGGAGTCCCTTGAGATCTGCTCTACTACTACCCATTGACTCCTATCCCCCTGGCTGCTTGCAGAGACAGCCATGCCCACCGATGTCGCTGATCAGCATGACCTTGGTGTTGGCAGGAATGTGCTGCTTGAAGACTGGATGTTGTTCCTCTCCCATTATGGTCTCATGGTGTCCGGAAGCATCCATGGCCTTGGCAGGCGTCAGGTCACACAGGTGGAACCAGCCTTCAGCACTCACTGCCACCACCAGGTTCTGGGAGAGACAGAGGCATGGGGGGCGGGGGGGCGGGTGAACTGGGAGGAGAGTCTAGGCATGAGCCTGGTCATTAAAGCACAGTAGTGATGGCTGAAGCCTTTAACTCACCACTGATCTCCACCAGGAGATGGGGCTCAATCTAGGTGAAGCTTTGGAATTCTACCAAAGTCCCAATGTCCCCTAGGGTTCTTACCTTGCCTTTATTACATACATCTCCAACCCCAACGCAAGTCAGCTGCAAAGAGGAGGGGAGACACACTGAGACTGATATTCCCTAATCTCCATGAAGCAAGCAAGGAGAGGGTTCACTAGCTACCATCCTTTGCTGAGAATTTGTGCCATGTGAACCTAATCAAGGTCTTATGCTATAGCTTTGGTTTACCCAGACAGCAATAGGAAGACCAGTAGTTAAGACAGTCTAGGCTGAACAAAAGTTCCACATCTAATACCCAGTCTATCATATTTCTAGACTTATTCCAAGTATTACCACCCCGCCCCCATTTTCTACTATACTTTATAAGATCAGATGATCTTGGTGTTTCTAAGTACTAAGTACTTACCAAGAGAGCCAGTCGACAACGAACGTACCAGCTGGGAACATGCTGCCTGGTGGCTTCCCTCCCTGATTCAAATAAACCCTGAAACAGTGGGGCTGAGGAGCTGGTGAACTGGGACACACTAGTGGGCTCCTGGGTAGCTTAGCCTTGACAGTCTCTGCACAGAACCCCTCTATCCCTCGAGCCCCAGGGAGTTGGACACTGACCATGCCCTGGCAGGAACAGGTGAGCCACGGCCGGCTGTCATCATTCTTATACACGAACAGCTTCCCACTGGTGTCTCCCACCACCAGTTCATTTAACTTCAAACAGGGAGAGAAAGACAGTGTTAGTTAGGATAGGCTCTTATGGAACCGCCTCAACTTTTCTGTATGGGGCCCATCCTGGGGAAGTCACAAGACCTGAACTTGTATCTTCATCAACCTTAGTAAAAATCTTTTGCAAGCAACAAATCCACAGTTCCCAGAGTTTCTTTTATTTTCCTGTAGGTGTGTGTGTGTGTGTGTGTGTGTCAGGGGAGGTTAGCAAAATGGTGCAATACAGAAATCTATGACCCTTCCCAGAAAAGTCTGACAACTGAACAGCTTCATGGCCTGCATGCCTGACTTCAACTCTTCCAATCTGTCCACTGCCAATGGTACATGTTTTGAAAACAACCCAAAATATTTAACTTTTGGAAAACTGAACTTCAGACCACATATTTAATCAAGGGCCAAATGAAAAGACAAGGTCAGTCCTGGAGGCCCTCCTTCCTCCAGCAAGACCTTTTGAGTGTGGTGTGTATGAGGGGTTGGAGGTGCTGGAGGAGGCAGCAGGAAGGGGTTGCTGGCTTCAGCCTCCATGTTCTGGGCCTCTGGCACCCTCAAGTGGTGGCCGTGCCCTCAGGAGGGGGCGCCCTGCAGGGCTTCTTCACTATTTGTATACAGGTGCTCCGTTGTCCCAATTGTTCCACAAAGGCTGGCTGGCTGCCTTTCCAGGGACTAACAGTGATAACAAGGTAGCCCCAAACCCTTTTTGCACAAATAGCTTCCTGATTTCCACTTGGGGGGCAGGGCCAGCCTATCCTCAAAATAGAGTGAATATTAGATTCTCAAGAGATTTAATTCTAAAGGCAACAAAGATACAACAGATCAACAGTAAGGAAAAGTTCTAAAATGCACTGGGATTTATTAATAATGATTTACTTGATCTGAATCTTCAATTTATTTTTTAAAACAGTTATGGGAGTTTCTGGTGGGAATATTTGATCACAAAAGCATAAAACAGGTTGTTTTTTTTTTTTTTTTTTTTTTTTTTTACATTAAACCCTCTTCACCTGATGTTTCTATTATGGCTGCCCCAGAGGACTCTGGCAGACACACAGGAGAGAAGCTGCATGGTACAGAGGCTCAGTGCAGCTACCTGGATTTGAATCCAACTCTCTATGCTAAAATTTTCTCATCTATAAAACAAAGATCATAAGGGTATCTCCCATGTAAGGTTGTTGTGAGAATCGAGCTAACAGCAGCAGGCCTTTAAACCAGTGACTGGCACAGAGCGAGCACTAAGTACCAGGTGGTTTTCAGCCTCTAGTTAAAGGCCTCCAAGGCGAGAGAGCCTAGAATCTTTCATACAATCCATTCTTTCTAATACATTCATTCAGTAAATGCCATCCATAGTCCATAGCAAGCCCTTAATAAAGATTTACTTAATAGACTAATAACAAAAAAGATTTTGGAAGGCATCTGGGTGGCTCAGTCAGTTAAGCGTCTGCCTTTAGCTCAGGTCATGGAGTTGGGCTCCCTGCTCAGCGGAAAGTCTTCTTCTTCCTCTGTGCTGCTCGTCCTTGCGCTTTCTCTCAAGTAAATAAAATCTTTTTTAAAAAAGATTTTTTTAGGAAACAAAGAAAAATAAGAATGAAAGAGAATGTTCAGTCAGCCCTGGAGTTTCCAGGTAAAGCTAGACAATGAGTCAGTCAAAGATAAATGCCGCAGATTCCCTGCTGAAGACGACCTCACCATTTAACAAGGGCACAGACACAGGAATAAAATCGTCAAACGGTGTGGTAAGTGCAGTGAGCAGGTAGATGTGACCCAGCCAGGCAATGACAGGAAGAAAGGCAATGACAGTGATGTAATAGCTGGCCTCCTGGAAGGGGACATTTCCAAAGTAGCCCATCTGCTTTCTGAGAACTATAATGTTTCCAGCAGTTCAGCTTCTCTGTGGCTCATCCTGTCTCTGGCCTCTGGCAGTCACTCACTGACACTAAAGAACACTGCTGGAGAGTACCATCACCAGAACTACTAAAAGAGAGAGGAGGTGAGGTCTCTGATCTGCTACAGTCTTCTAGAGACTCCCCCCTGGTGTAGCCAGGCCTTCTGTGGACAGTCCAAGAGAGTGTGGATTCTATTTCTGGCTTCCCCTCCTCCCAACTGACCAGGAAATAAATTCATTTCAAAGAACTTTAGGCTATTGATTTATTAAAATGAAATAAGCCTTTTTCCTGCGCCAAAGCTCCAAGTGCTGGCCTGGAGAAACGTTAACAGAATTTCTATCTGCCCTTGTGCAAGCTGAATGTACCACATACAATCACTAGGCAACTATCTCGACTACTTGCCCTTCTTTCAGTTACATTTATCAATTACAGGCAAAGCCCTTCAGACTGCTTTAGAGTTACATAATCACATTTGCTCTCCAGAACAGTCCTCATTTATTCAACAAACGTTTGATGAGTGCCTAACTATGTGCCAGGTACTATTCTAAGTGTTGGGAAGACAGCAGTGAAAAAAAACAGATAAAAATTTCCTATCCTTATGAAGCTCACAACTCAGGTTAAGGAAAAAAAAAAAAGTAGACAATACATCTATTATTGCAGAACGGAGTGTATTAGTGCAATCCACCAGAAAAGTTCAATTTCCAAAAAAGCTGATGCTGTAAAGCTGTGAAGGCATGTATTTTTCCCTTTTAAAAAGAAGACAAAAACATAACGCAGAAAATAATGCACACCCAAAGTCACTCTGTTAATTTACTATTTGAAAATGCCTCTCTTGATTTTCTCATAACATTGTAATGCGGGGCATTATGAAGAAACGTGAAAGCCCAGAAAACGATACAAATTTATGAGAATAACTCCTTCCTCCCTCGAAGCAGCAGAGCCAAAACAGTCCTCGTAAAATACGTTCTCCAACACAGGACAAAGGAGGCCGGGGCCGGGTATGTGTTAGTCCTCGTTTTTTCCCAGAGAAGTAAGCACAGAACAGTTAGGGAGGTGAGAATAAGGAGGAGAATAGGGAGATGGGGCAGAGGGTAGGAGAGGATGGCAATAAGGTGCTTTGCATTCCAAGTGTGAAATAAAGAATGAAAACATAGCTGTTAAGGGTCTCACACCAGCAACAGCCCCCACCCCCTTTGGGGCTCCACCCCAAAACTCTGCACATGCTTGAACGAATGCAGCTCCTTACATTCTGCTACTCTCCGGGCTATCACCCCAGCCGACTATGCGCTTCCTGAGGGTCTCGTTCATTTCGGAATTCCCAGAATACAGCACAGCTCCTGGCGCACTATGGGCAACTGAATACATCTTTGCGGAAAAACTGAATCCAACACTAAGGTACCCAGCGGTAGCCGTGTGCCAGGCACAGTCCTGCCCGCTTTACCGGTATTGACTCATTTAAACAACGAGGAAACGAACGGCGGTCGACAGGGGCAACTGTAGATACAAACTGCTTTTGGAATTCAACCAAGCGCTTTCAAGGTGCCAGACCCCTGCGTGTTCGCAGAAACCCGGCGCGACCGGGGTGGGGCCGCAGAGGCGGGGCCGCAGAGGCGGCAGTACAGCCGTGTATTCGGCGCAAGGGGCAGGTGCAAGAGCAGCAAAGGAGCGTCGCGAGCTCGTTCTAAGGCTTCGAGAGGGGACATGATTTGGGAGGGGATGCTCCCCCCCCCACCGGAGCAGGCGTAATACATGCAGTGAACCAGGAAATCTGGCCACCGGTGTGCCAGGCTCCTACTGTGAAAAGTTCACTGACTTAGGCAAAGGATCCGTTATCTATGCCCCTAAAAGAACACCAGACAACCGAACCGGGGCCGTCCGGGCCCGACCCCCGGGCACAGAGGGTGCCCGCACAGCCTCCCCGAGGCCACCGCGCAGGCGCACCGCGCAGGCGCACCGCGCACGCCGCACGCACGCCGCGGGCGGCTTCCCCACGTCCCCGGCCCCGCCCCCTGACGCCGAGCCGCAGAGCCGCGGGGCCGCACAGCGTCTCGAGCAATGCGCATGCACTGACCGTGTCGTTGTCGACGTCTCCGAGGCAGATCGCGTGCGGGAAGAGGCTCCCGCTAAAGTCCAGGGCCACGCGCTGCACGTAGCTAACTGACCTCATCGCACTTGCAAGGGCCGGGGGACCGGGCAGCCCCGCTAAATGTCCCCCGAGCCCCTCCCGAGAGCTGCCCGAGCGGAAGGCCAGCCAAAGCGGAAAGTCACGTCACCGCCCGCGCCTCCAATCGCGGCCTCCGTCGCTTAGTCTTAAAAAGAGGAGGTGGGTCTTCCGAGCGCCGTGGGCGGGGGGCGGGCTCACCGAGCTGCCGCTGTGAGTGGCAGTTCCCTGGGCCAGTCCTTTCCTCCAGATCTCCGCGAGCCGCGGGGAGACCAACCTGACGGGGGCGGGCGATCTGTTCCCCGGCCACCGGCCCCGCAGGGCTTGACCTCCTAACCTTGACCTCTTCCTTGGTTGCCCTAGCGACGGGGAGCCCCAGCCTTCAGACTAAACCAGGAAGTCCTAATAATCGTGAAACTGACAACTATATGGTTTCCAACAGGGTTCTATTAAAAAAAAAAAATGACATAGCCACCCGTTAGGAGTCCCGACAACAATGTGAATTGAACCGGAATTTAAAAAAACAACAGAGCAGAAAATAGCAAATGACTCTCGAGTACTAGATTTTGTGAAACCTCGGCTTCACTTGTATATATTTATATGTGTATACTTTAGATACTGACTTCCGTGAAAAAAGAATCTTAAAATGGTGTGCGTACGCTTTTGGTTTGTGTGGTTTGAAAACCACTTGCCGCGAAGCACATTCGTATACCTTGTTTCAGGTAATTAGCCCAACAACCCCGAGAGGCTGTGTATTATTCCAGTTTTTTGGATGAGAAAAAACAGGTTCAGCAAGATTGAGTAACCAGACAGAAAGTTGTGGGGATGGGACTCAAATCAAGGTTGTTAGGGGGATCCCTGGGTGGCGCAGCGGTTTGGCGCCTGCCTTTGGCCCCGGGCGCGATCCTGGAGACCCGGGATCGAATCCCACGTCGGGCTCCCAGTGCATGGAGCGTGCTTCTCCCTCTGCCTGTGTCTCTGCCTCTCTGCCTCTCTGTGACTATCATAAATAAACTAAAAAATTAAAAAAAAAAAAATCAAGGTTGTTAGATCCAGAACCTCAGCTCCTTTCTACCACTTCTGCTGTAGTTCCCAGAAACGTCCTCAGGCTGGAAGGCAGGGGTTTGGTTTGGGTATGCGCCGTTCTCTGCCCTCCGCGTCCACACAAAGTTCCTGCCTCCCTGCCTCAGTGGTCTTACTCTGTACTGCAGATGGGCTGTCACCGTCATGGTTGGCCTCTTGGAAATTTCTTTATTTGGGGTGCCTGCCTCATCAATCAGGGCATCAGAAGTCTTACTTGTAAAATTCTGCAGGTCCAGACTAATGTGTGCACTGGTCTTTCAGGAGGTGGACATTGTGAAAATAAGTATATCTACCACACCTGGGGAGGTTGGACCAGGGGGCTGGTCCCACTTTCTACTTCTGAACATAGAGGGAGAAGGCACTGGAGGCAGGACTTTTTGCCTGGGGATGGGAGAGGGGGGTGGCACATTTTGTCCCAGACGTCCCAATGGATCTGACAGCTAGATAAGATGAGAACAAGGAACAGCAAACAGAACAGTAAACAGGAGGCTGTCCAGACAAATAGCTGGAGACTGCAGATACACTCGAGTTTCTGTTTTGATGGTATACCGTGGGTTTGGTGGGGTCCATTCAAAGGCTCTGTGTCACAGAGGTGTACCTGGTGCTTTAAATGCATGATCTTATTATGGAGGGGTTGCACACAACCTCATCCTGCACTACCATATCTCTGTTTTCGTCTCATTCTAGCTCATACCCCATGCTTCCTCTTAGGTTTTAACGGATGGAAAAAGAAAAGCTGTTTTAAAAATGCTTACTTCTAAATGAAAGTTAAATAGTGTTGAATTGTGTTTCTTTTCACTGTTATTTCTCTGTTGTTTTCTCTTTTTCCAGCCTTTTGAATGAAATTATAAAAGTAAATAATTAAGTAAATTCATAAATAACCCAGGACAAAATAGGTAAGGCTCACTCAGCTTCTGCCACCAAGTGCCCTGGCCTGACCCAGTTCTTTGAAATCATACCCTGACCCAGCACTTCACACTTAGTTTTATCTCCTTCAACAGTTGTGTTTCTGGTTCTTGACCCTTCTTTGCTACGGGCTGCCTGGTAATGTTTCTCCTGTAGGTGCTGTCGTTATGATGACATTATGTCACATGACAACTTGGATACCATGCCTTTTGGCTTTTGTCAAGAGAGTCAAAAAAGTTAGTAAGGAAGGTGAGATAGATCTCCAAGAAATACGACATGAATGGAATCTTTCTTGTCTCCCCACCTTGCGTCAGTTACTTCATCTGGGTTGTGTGTTACATTCTTTAGAAGTGGAACACACTGGGCAGTTGCAGAGCCATGTGGACAGATCCCTAGCTCCACAAGGAACACCCCTGTTTTTGGCCCTTCATAATGGGATGGTTGATGGCACCATCCACTGGCACCATCTAGAGCTAGTCTTTTTTAAGCCAAGCACGCTTTCAGCATGGGTGTTGGCTTACTCCCCAGAACTTGCTCACCAGGCCATCTTCCTGGTTAGATGACATGGATACAGTTGTGTGGGTGGCATATTGTTTACCAGTCAGCCCAATGATAGCTTCATTAGAAACCTGCTATGGGAAGGAGGGACGTTAAATGGGAAGCATTTCCAGGGAGATACTTTGTCCACTTCTAATTCCAGGAGTGGACAGAGGGGTCCAAATTTTGTCTACCTAGGATGGCCAAGTAAGAAACAGGACCTTGAAAACTCTCTACATATGAGACCCAGAAACACCATCCAGGGAGTAGGGTCTAGGGCTTCCTAATGGGCTCAGTTTGAGAATGCCCTTCCCTCTCTAGTCTGCAATGCACCTTAGCATAAAAGGTCCTGAGAAGTCCTCAAGTACCGAGAACTGTTTCCTCAGACTGACTGGAAATTAGGACAACAATGTGGGCAGCCCCGCTATGAGTGAAACGCTGTCTCTCTTTTTGAGTCCCACCTACTTCTTTGCATGTTTGGCTCTGTCAGAAAGGATCATCCACTCTGGGAGGCTTTGATCCTAGAGCCTGTCAGGCTTGTCATCTGGTTTTGTTTTAAAGGATTTTAAGTAATCCCTATAGCCAACATGGGACTGAACTCACAACCCTGAGATCAAGAGTTGTATCAAGTGTACAAGCACTGTACGGACTCACCGGACGCCCCAGGGTCGTTTCCTGTTAAAAAGCCTACTGTTATTAACTGAAGGATAAAGATAGTCCTTCATTTTCTCTAAAGTCCAAACATGAAAAAATGGGCTTAAAAAACCAAGGATGATGAAAATGTGTCAAACTAGACAGAGGTGGTGGTCTTACAGTGATGTGATTGGACTAAATACCACTGCATTGTTCATGTTAAAATGGTTAATTTTATACTATGTGAATTCCACCTCATTAAAAAAAAAATGCAAACAGAACTATTTTCTGTGTGAAGCACTCCTAACAGTTGGAACAGGAGACGGGTGATCCTGGAACCTACTGGTTGGATGGGGAGGGGGAGGGTTTGACCAGTCCTCTCCTTTAGCCAAAGAACTCTGCAAATTTGTGAAGGCACTGGTTTCTTTTCTTTTTTTTTTTTTTTAAGATTTTATTCCACTTTTAAAAAAATATTGCTTTTTATTATTTATTTTTAATATTTTATTTATTTATTCATGAGAGACACACAGAGAGAGAGAGGCAGAGACACAGGCAGAGGGAGAAGCAGGCTCCATGCAGGAAGCCCGATGTGGGACTCTATCCCAGAATTCCAGGATCATGCCCTGGGCCAAAGGCAGAGGCTCAACCGCTGAGCTACCCAGGCGTCCCAGATTCCACTCTTTTAAGGGAAATGAGATGTACAGCTCCCCATTTTGACGGTGGTGTGGCTGGTCTAGTGTGAGGGAGTCAAGTGCTCCATGGCTGGCATAAGGCAGGCAGGGCCAGGACCCACAGAACTGTGGACCTCAGTAAAGGTTCTGACCTTCAGGCTAAATGGGATGGGAAGTCATCGACAGGGTTTTAAGCAGTTGGAGGAGTAGGACATGAATGCAGTGTTGAGTGAAGTACAAGAGGGAATGCAAGCTAGGAGGAACCTTCTGCAGGAAGGAGACCCGGCTCAAGGCGCATGGTGCTGTTGGGGAAAGGCTGCTAGAATGGAAATGGGAACTTGATATGAGGATCGGCACTAGGACAAAATGAACCCAATCTTAAATTTTCTAAATCTGCAGTAACTGCTAGCAGTACTAGTTATGGTTTTCCTTATTTGAGCACATTATCTCCATCCGGGAAGATTTTGAGTGTTGGTGAGGAAATGTTCAACTGGTGAGGCTGTGAACTTGATGGTCCAAAGCAAAGTGGAAGTACATGACACACCTGTTTTTAATCCTTAAGGCTTTTTTTCTTCTTCTTTTTTTTTTTTTTAAACATTTTACATATTTGAGGAAGAAGGAGAGCACAGAGGGAAAAGCAGACTCCTCATTGAGCAGGGAACCCAATGCAGGGCTCTGTTCCAGGAGCTGTACACAAACACTTAACTGAGCCACCCAGAACTTCTGGTCACTTAGGTAAAACATCTTCACAGTAGTCTTAATATTACATTGACCAAGGCTTGTCCAGCTCCAGGATTCTATAGAAATGCATTTGTTTTAAATTCCTAGAATCCCATGGAATCATTCAGAGCTGGAAGGAGTTTTAAGTCTTGTCCACTCCCCTGTTTTTGGAGCTAAGGAAATAGGTTCGTTCACCTTGCCCAAGATCACATGAGCCTCCTAACAAGTTTGGATTTGTTCCAGAGAGCTCAAAATAATCCAGGCAGACCCTTCTACTTAACTTGAGCCTTGTTTTCATCTGTAAAATGGGGTAACACCTTTGTAGGATGGTTGCAAGGATTAAGATTCACACAAGGCTCTGGTTTAGTCCTAGCCTTCTGTCCTAAGTGCATAATGAGGGTCAGCTATCGTTGGGTACAGGGGCAAGATGGATCTTAGCATACCAAAGGCCCAGGTGCACAGGACTGTGTTAAACTCCACAAGAGTACAAGTGGGCACTGGGAGACTAAACTGAATTTTAGTTTGGACTCATGGAAAGAGCCATGCTGTAGGATGTGGGGAGATTTCCATACACATTAATCTTCCACAGTAAAAGCAGAGAAATTGCTTCTGGAACTGTCTAAGCACGTGGGTAGGCACACAACCTCTACCACCGTTTAGAAAGGACAACTTACAGGAGAGAAGAAGGCCACAGATAGGCTTTAGCCTGCTGCCACAACCATCGGGAGAAGACAAGACTTGTGCCCCTTGGCTTCTCCCAGGGCCCCTGGGTGGCTATAGGAGGCAAAGATCAACACACAGAAAAAAGTCTAAGCTCTTTCCTA